ATGAAATCGACATTCCGCAGATCACAGACAGACTTCTGTAGAAAACTACACATATACAGAACGACAAAGGCTACTCCAGCATACAGGTTTTGCTGGCGAACACAAATGATAGACATCCAACGTCTTCTGTTCTTTTCTGAAATGTCTTAGGTCATTCTAAGAGTAATCAACACAGTCCGATGTCGCTGTCCCCGGCCCGACTACGCTATGAAATGGTTGATTTGTACTGAAAAATACGACTTCAAGAAGGCGACCGTCCCTTGGTCATTCAACCCCTGCAGAAGAGACTGTTCGGGCTGATGCTATACTGACAGTATGGAGTCTTTGAAATGTTGTTATGCAAACAACATCACATATTGCGGCTTCGATGATGGAAGCAAATATCAACTACGCTATAAAGCAAGTTGTCTTTGTAGCCTAGGAATACAAACTGCCAAAAAGAAAGGCTACACAGCCAGCGCCTTAAAATCGTTTGATTACAGACAGGGCGCTTTCCGGATATTTTTTCATTCGCCTCGCCTAGAGGACCGTTTTCGGAGTTGTTTTTTACGGCCTTTTACCTATGCGGTTTAACATGCTGTTTAAGAGTTTTGTGGGTTTACTGATACGACACAATACAACAAAGATAGATTCTGGTCGCTTTGGCTGCAGAGACAAGACTTTCAGCCATGGATCCTCTTTGTAGAATTGCTGAAGTTGGTAACAGAAGGGCGACGTTTTCGATAGTTTTTTTTTTTAATTCGTTTGCCTTTTTTTGCTTGCGCGCTTCACAGGCTACGCTTGGAGATGAACCCAGTCAGGGGTGCCTCACCCACGCCCACATCTGCATGCCAAGTCTATGAGGGACGTCGGACTTATTTTCCAGCTATTAAAAAAAATGTCATTTCTTCTGTATACAAAAAGAAAAACAAACCGGCTGCAATGATGGAAGCAAATATCAACTACGCTATAAAGCAAGATGTCTTTGTAGCCTGGGAATACAGAATGCGAAAAAGAAAGGTTACACAACCAGCGCCTTAAAATCGTTTGCTTACAGACAGGGAGCTTTTCTGATCTTTTTCAATTGACCTCACCTGGACAACCATTTTCAAAGTTGCTTTTTTGGGTCTTTTCCCTGTGCAGTTTAGCATGCTGTTTTTGAGTTCTATGGGTTTACTCATACGACAAAATACAGCAAAAATAGATTTTGGTCGCTTGGGCTGCAGAGACTCGGCTTTCAGCCGTGGACCCTCTTTGTAGAATTGTTGGAGTTGGTAACAGAAGGGCGACGTTTTCGATAGCTTTTTTTTATAATTCGTTTGCCCTTTTTTGCTTACACGCTTCACAGGCTACGGTTGAAGATGAGCCCAGTCAGGGGTGCCTCGCCCGCATCCACATCACCATGCCAAATATATGAGGGACGTCGGACCCGTTTTCCGGCTATTACAAAAAATGTTATTTCTTCTGTATAAAAAAAAAAAAAAAAAAAAAAAAAAACGGCTGCGTGGGCCAGCATTCCATGGTACGGCAACTTCCATACGTTTTTCCGGCCACGGACACTGCTGGCACAACGCTGGCCCCGGTTACCTACATGTTCTTTTTTTTTTCTTTTTTTTACTAAAGCTACGCTACGCTCTTCTCTCAAATTTTTCATCACCTTTCACATTCTTTCAATTCGGCTCCTCTGACTTCCTGTCACTACTCCTGCGGTTTTCACAACAGACCCCTGCGAACATTACTTTGTTGTCTCCATCTAGCCACCACAGACGATGCATCTTGCCTCCCGCCTCAACCATGGCGGTCAAGAATGGGGCGCGGCCGTGGGTGGGGCTCCGCCTAACACAAAGACCACGCATTTTGCCAGTTCGCAGCCCTTAGGCTGCGGTATAGTGGGCTTCCGCGTCTGTGTCAAGGTGTCGCATTTTTGGCGGCGGGCAACTAGGACGTAAAGTGGGTTCTTAGGGCGCAAAAAAATTTGGGGGACCGGTCCTTGGCAAAATTGCGGACTACCTACAACTAGCTCTTCTAGAACCGGGACTTTTGGAAAAAGGAAGGACCTGTCTTCGGGTGGAAGTGGACCCCAAAAAGAAGTGGGGGGCATTGGACCGGTCCCCGGGTAGAAGCGGGCCCCAAAAAGAAGTGCGGGCATGTGAACTGCAGAAGGGCCCTCAGGCCCAGGCATTGAGCCCCATCTTCTCGAAACAGGGAGGTCAGGCACAACGAAATAGGCGTTTTGCAAGAGGCAACTTTGGCGATTTTCTGTGCTCGGACGAACATGCACAAAAATCTGAAATTTTGAGAATCCATAGATGAGGTCGTGTTCTTTCCATAAATAATAATAGAACATTTACAAAAGATCATTTACGCTGCGAAATAATCACCGCGCCGATTCGGCACATTTTCTATTTTTGCCACTCATCCATGCCTGGGCCAACTAAAAAAGTACTTCAAATTCAGTGAGCTTTCACGCTTAGAAGAACGCGTGAAAAAACCTGAAAATTGGAGTACTCGTAGACTTTGTTGTGATCTTTCCAGGAAAAACGATAAACAAATTTATTTAAAAAATTCATTCCAACTGCAAAATAGATCGCAGCCACAATTTGACCCATATTTCAATTTTGCCATTCACTCTCTCTCTCTCTCTCTCTCTCTCTCTCTCTCTCTCTCTCTCTCTCTCTCTCTCTCTCTCTCT